TTTCAAGATTGTTTTGGCTATTTGAGGTCCCTTGCATTTCCGTATGAATTTTCAGATCAACTTGTTTATATCTACAAAAAAAGACAGTTGGAATTTTAAGGACTTACATCGAACCTATAGATTAGTTTGGGGAATATTGCCATGTTAACAATATTCTTTTCAATAGGATATCTTTCTATTTATTTAAATCTTCTTCAGTGAAGTTTTATGGTTATCTTCATGTGTCTTGCACATTATTGTTGTGTTTCTAAGATTTTGTAGTTTTTCTTTGATGTTATAAGGGATCTTTTAGCATAAAATTTTTTAAGTGGCTAATGCTGCTATATGGAAAAGTTGTTGATTTTATCAGGGGTAGACAAATAGACCAAAAGAATACAATAGAAGGTCCAAAAAACAGACCCACACATATATGGCTGTCTGACTTAGGACAAAGGCACCACATCAATTCAATGAGGAAGAAAGATGATCTTTTCGGTAAATAGTGCTGAAACAATTGGGTATACATAACGAATAAAATGAGCCTTACCTCTGCCTATACACAAAAATTAATATGAGATGAATTATAGACCTAAATGTCAAAGGAAGAACAATAAAACTTCTCTAAAAAACAGAATATCTCTACAACCTTTAATTAATCAAAGATTTATTGAAACGACCACAAAAAACTACTAACCATAAAAAGAAAACGAATAAATTGGACTTTATCTAAATTAAGAACTTGTGTTCATCAAGAGCTCTTATTGAGAGTGGAAAAACAAGCCATAAACAGAAGATATCCATGACACATATTTCTGACAAAGGATTTGTCTAGAGTATGTAAAGAACTCAATGAGCAAAAGACAGAAGGTTCAAAGAAGAGGATATCTGAGTAGGCAATAAATAGATTAGTCATCAGAAGAATAAATACCACAACCCTGACATGCTCTGCAGACCCACTAAAATTAAAAAGACTGGAAATACCAAGTATTGGTGGCAGTGTGGAGCAACTGAAACTCATACATTGCTGGTGGAAGTGTAAAGTAGTCAACTATTTGGGGAAAATGTTTGATGCTTTCTACTAAAGCCAAATTTAGATCTATGTTATAACCCAGAAGTTCTGCTCCTAGGATATACCCAAGAGAAATGAGATGCCCACACACCAGAGATAATGTATGTAGTATCATGTTCATAGTATCTCTATTTGTAGGGGCCCCAAATGAGAAACAACCCAGATGTCCAAGAGTAGAATAAATAAATTTTGATATTTTTATATAGTGGAGTACTAAACTGCAATACAAAAGAACACACTAATGCTACATACACCCGCTTGGATGAATCTCACAGACAGAATATTGAGTGAAAGAATCCAGACACAGAAGAATATATATTGTATAATGCCATGTAGTTGGAGTTTCAGGGGCAGGTGACACGAGTGATCCTGATAGCCAACAGTATGGCAGTTATCTCAGGATTTGGGAGAGGGAAGGTGGATACTGACAGGGAAGAAGAACAAAGGAGCTTTCTGCAGTGCTGGAAATAGTCTGTATTTGACCTGGATGGTAAGTCCGTGACTGAAGATTCCTTGATCTGTATACATGTTAGGCATTTGCACTTTACTGTATATACTTTAAAAAGTAAAATGCACGTATATATAGAGAGATTGAGTAAAAAAGACACTATACTTAGTCATCATTTTAAATTCAATAGTTGAAGATAGTATTTTCATTGTAGCTGAGTCAATTCAAAACATATTCTCTACCAGAGATAAATGAAAGGTTTTGACAATGGGGAACCAAGATACCTTGAGGGTTTTAACAGGACTTCAAGGATCACAAATAAGAATCATAGGTGGTCATACAACTCAATAGCCAAAAAACAGCCCCGTTAAAAAAATGGGCGGAGGATCTGAAGAGACATTTTTCCAAAGAAGACACACAGATAACCAACAGGTACATGAAAAGATGCTCAACCACATTAATCATCAGGGAAATGCAAAGCAAAACCACAATGAGATATCACCTCACACCTGTTATAATGGCTGTTATCAAAAAGACAACAGATAAGTGTTGGTGAGGATGTAGAGAAAGGGAACCCTTGTGTCCTAGTTGGTGGGAATGTAAATTGATGCAGCCAGTATGTAAAACAGTACGGAGGTTCCTAAAAAAACTAAAAATAGACCTACGATGTGATCCAGCAATTCCGCTTCTGAGTATGTATCTGAAGAAAATTAGAACACTAATTCAAAAAGATATGTGCACCCTCATATTTGTTGAGGCATTATTTTCAGTAGCCAAGATATGCAACCAGGTGTTCATCAGTGGATAAATGGATAAAAAAATTGTGGTGTATATATACAATGGAATACTATTCAGCGATAGAAAGAAATGTGAAGGAAAATAGAAGGAATGCTATTCCATAGAAGGAAATCCTGCCATTTGTGACAACATGGATCGACTTTGAGGGTATTATGCTGAGTGAAATAAGTCAGACAGAGAAAGACAAATACCATATGATCTCACTTATATGTGGAATTTAAAAACAACGACGAAACCATGCTTACAGATACAGAGAACAGATTGGTAGTTGCCCGAGGCAGGGGTCTGGCGGTGGGAGAAATGGGTGAAGGGGATCAAAAGGCACAAACCTCCAGTTACAAAATATTTAAGTCATAGGGATGTAATATACAACATGATGTTTAATACTGTATTGCATATTTGAAAGTTTCCAAGAGAGTAAATCTTAAAAGTCCTCCTCACAAGAAGAAAAAAACTTTATAAAAGAAGAGTAATTACACTTAATAGTACAGATGAAGTAGACTTTCCTCTTAATATTTATGGCTTAAGTGTGTCAGATATACACATACGTGCACACACAGACTCAATGTTGATTCCTTATCTTCAAAAGGAGAACTATCCTCCTAAATTGTCCCCATACAGCTTTGTATGAAAATCGTACACTTATCACAGGCCGTCATGACTTAGCCTTCCTCTTCCTCCCTGTACTTTAATGAAAAAGATCCAAAGAAAACAAGGAGAGTCGTAGGAGGGAAAACCTGCAGGGATAGTTTGTGTCTTCCCCCAGAGAGGAAAATCATGGTGAGTATTTTGAAAACGAGCTGTAAAGTAAGTGATGCCTTGAAGATTTTAAGTCCCTTGCCTAGCAGTACCTGTGTGACAACTGTTACAGGGTTCCTGGTGGGAATGTGGTACGTTTGAGATGGTAAACCACTGTCTGGGGCATTTCCTCATTGGCATTAACATTTCTTGCTTTGCCTGTTTTGTAAGGGTCACTGAGCATTTGAGCATCTCAGTAAAATTCAGTTATACCAACATTGTAGTTACTATAACTTCCTAAAGTTTAGTAAACTGTCCTTTCGAGATTTTTAAAATTTTTTTGGGTGTGCAGGGTCACAAACTTTGTAAAAGAGAACAATTAAGTCCTGAAATTCTGTCCCATGATTAACTTTATTTTGTTAGTATGAATTTAAATGTTCTTGAGTCTTTAGTGTTTCTTTTACAATGAATGATAATGCTGATGGTTTAATTTTATAGTGAGGTTTCTGTTCACTAATCTCGCTATGTATTTGAAGAATTTCTTCTTTTTTAAAGACGCAAAACATTGTGTATCTCTTTTATCTTACCATAGAATAGGTAATACAGCTAGGTAGATTAACCCTTAATGGCACATGAGAAGCATCTTAAACCAGTCTCTAGGTGAATAAGGTTGAGTGGCAAGAGTAAATAATAACTCCCATGGACAAGAACAGGGGGCCATCAGGAAGCATCTGGGTCTTTCTCTAGTCTCGGCCGAAGACGAAGGAGCTGTTCTTGAAGAATGTATGTTTTTCACCCTGTGTCCCTGATCTTGTGTGACTGGAATCATCATAAAGAGGTGCTCTTCAGATGTTAATTCAGATCTGAAGGAGCTGTTCTTGAAGAATGTATGTTTTTCACCCTGTGTCCCTGATCTTGTGTGACTGGAATCATCATAAAGAGGTGCTCTTCAGATGTTAATTCAGATCTAAGTACCTCCCTGGCTTTGACCTGTCCTTAGGAAAGGAGGAGAGGACCAGGGCATAATGACCCTCTCGGTCCAGGAACCTTATTACTTATGACTTTCAGCTCTTACTACTGCCAGTGCACCTCCGTATATGTCCTCGATTTGGATTGCTCCAGTGAGGAGAAGATTCTGTTCTGCCTCTTGACACCAATTGGACACTACCTTCTTTTCTTTTTAGCATATCTCATCCTTATTAGGATAAGCAAAGAGTATTATTGCAATAAAGTTAGTGGAAGCAATGTTAACAAAGAAAATGCAGTAAAATAAGTAAAATTGCTGCCAGATAGAGGGAACAATTGTTAGGGAAAATCTACGCTCCTAAGCTAGTCAGCACACATGGTAATCATAAAACAAGAGTTGTGTCTTTGCTGATACTTAGGAACTCATTGGAAGCCACTTGAATTAAGTAACCTATTAGGTTGAGAACTGAAATGTCTTAAAAAACAATCTGATTTATGACTCACATATGGACAAGTGCTGTTTTTAGTGCTCAAAGAAAAAGTAGAGTTCCTTCATATAGTCTAAAAATGGTACAAACAGGACAAATACTTAAAATAATACGTATTTGAGTTCTAAGAGAGAACAAGAGAGCAGGGAAACACAATGCCAATTAATGACAGAACATGTTTGTGATGTAACAAGATTCATACCTTAAAATTAGGTTATGGTACACACAGTGACTATGAAGCACAGTAAAGAAATAGAGGGATCAAACTCAGCATTGTGCTCTAAGTAATGAAATTGGGAAATTATGCTTGATAACCAGGACAGTTTTTGACAAAGAACTTGAGATCTATCCATTACTAATCCTACAGATGTTCAGTGTTCTTTTTAAACTCATAATGTATAAAACATTTGGGAAACATTCCAGATTGTAACCATTTTCAGTAAAAACTGGTAGTGTTTTTTTTTTAATATCAAATTACATTTTCCTTTTTTCATTTGTGTTTTTCCCACTCTAGGAAACTGACTGGACATTCTTTCCACATGGGCTACAGCATGGCAATTTTGAATGGCATTGTAGCTGCTCTTACTGTAGCCTGGTGCCTCATGTAAACCCACACTGAAGCAGTATTCTCAGCAAAACTTAGTCATGATTGCTTCGTGATAACAGGGAAGAACATCATTGCCTACACAGAAGACCAAGAGACCTGCTTTTATGCGGATCAGATACATGCCATATCATCGTCATTACAGAGGACCTTCTCAAGCATTGTTCTAGAGCCTGGGCATTGGGAATATCTGAGTAGTACGTTTCAAGTATTTTTTTAAAAGTGTAAGATGTTTACCTCACCTTTTTACTTTTGTGTGTGTGGTTTTTTTATACGTTGTAGAAAACATTTTAATGGAAATCAAACTCGAAAACTTGAATACAGAACAATGCCTACCTTTCTGTGTATGTACTACATTTTTGCTAAGAAATACTGATATTACTGTTTAATTGAGACAGAAATATTTCTTATTTATTCGTTGTATTAGAAAAACAAACAATGCCTACTACGTTTTATAGAAGCTACTTTCAGATCAGAATACTTAGTTTTTGATATTCATATAATCAATAGAAGGTGCATTTATATTTTTTAATGGGGCTTAGTTCCTTATGTGTTTTTATGTATTTTCCTACTACATATTGAATTTGTATGTTTTTAAAATTGTTACATCTAGACAAATGTAAATGTTATTTTTTAGCTGGTTCAAACCTAATACCTACCATTTTTAATAAGTATTTTGTCTTTAAAAAAACAGCAAAAAAGCACACTGACCTGAATTTAAAATTAAATAAATTTATTTTTAACAAAAAACAACTGAAAAAAGATAAATTATTTAAGCCATTAAAATAGTGAGAAATTAGAAACTGTCCGTATTTCTCTTTCCACAATTCCAAATATTTATCTTGGTGTATATATGGTTACTTCAACAGAATTGATATTATTTTGTTTTTAATAAATATAAACCTGAAATTTTTATATTTAGAAATGCTTGAACTAGTTTGTTTTTAATCTCAAAAATTACCAAAATAGAAATAGTATTTTGAGACAGTGTGTGTATATATATATGTGTAATTTTTTATATGTAGTTTCATAATTTTTCTATTTAAATGTTAGTTAATTTTGGTGTTAGTTTTTGTTTTCATACTAATTAAACCTTAATTGTTCCTACTTCCTTTCTAGAAAGTAACTTCAATTTTAGAAAGATGGACTATTTAAAATGCTGTTTCTCTGGCCATAGAAAAACTTACATTAGGAAAGCATTGTGTAGTGAAACTGCTGATTTCGGCTAAATGGGAAATGAATATTTTCAGTGTCTTCCTGTTATCTGCTGGGTGTTGTTACTGAGTAAATGATTTAATGATGTTTCTAAAAGTCTTAACTTTTTTTTTTTTTTTTGGTACTATTCAAAAAACCTTTTGTTGGAAATGACAAACACTGCTCTAACTTAAATTATCTGAAGTAAATGTTTAGATTATTATGGAGGGGTGTGTATGTATCTGTAAATATACATACATATATACAAATTCTTCCTTCCAGAGTGATTGTTGCAATGGATATATTTTCACTCCCTGCCTCCCCCTCAACCCCCACCTTGGTTCTAAAGGGCTCTTCCTGTGCAAAGGAATGTACAGGTAACAAAATCAGTTTTTCTTCTCTCCACACCTCCAAGTCCCCCTTCCCCAAATTTGGATAGCTTCTTCCATATTCTTTGTGTCTTATGACTAAGAAAAATATTACATTAGACCCTTCATATGTAGTTATCTATAAGATAGATAGATACATGCATACATATAGATAGATATCTGTAACATATTAATTCTGGAACCCTATTTCTTCTGGACAAGTACTCTTCCTTGTTGAGAAATTTCTCCCCTCTCTGCAGTCTAACATAGGGTCTGAATAGAAATCATGCTCCTTCCAGGGGCTGGCCCAGTGGCACAGTGGGTAAGTGCCCACATTCCACTTCGGCGGCCCAGGGTTCCCCGGTTGGGATTCCAGGTGCAGACATGGCACCACTTGACAAGCCATGCTGTGGTAGGTGTCCCACATATCAAGTAGAGGAAGATGGGCATGGATGTTAGCTCAGGGCTAGTCTTCCTCAAAAAAAAAAAAAAAATCAGTTTGATAAAAATATACACTGTCCAAAAAGACCCCAACTGTAAGTATTGTCTCAGCTGGCTTTGTAACTAGGTCTTCAGTAGATTATTCCGGTGTTCGGAAACAGCAGCTGATAAGATAGAGGCACATAATGGGGAGGTTAACAAAACAAAAATTAAGCACTTTATCTTACCTCTTTTTTGGTGTAATAAGTTCTTTGACGAGAGCAATGTTCTGTGGGAATCCACAATAATGTATAAATTAGTCAGTAAATCCATAAATGGTAGTGCTGCCAGAAGTATCACAGACAAGAAAAGCAAATCTAAAACTACAATATGTCTACCAGTGAGGACAAAACTAGAATGTTACCCCTTCTAATGCAATGAGTTGGCTACTAGGTAGCTGGCTGACCCCCAAGATAGACCATAAGGAGGGCTCTTGACGTGGAGATGGAGGGAGGTAGGGAAGGTGGGGGAGGGGAGGCAGCAGTAGCCAGGGAAACCTCTGAGAATGCAATTCTGTCTGTAGACCCCATCCTTGTGCTCTTGGCACTTTATGTTCTCATTAAGCACTGGCTTGACAGGAGACTGAAATCTACAGAATAGATTATCTTGTCTACTTGATTACTCAGATCCTCTTTGACAGTGAGGGCTTTCCTGTGAGTATTAACATAGCTCAGAAATATTCTCACATTCTGGACCCATTTTAAGAGACCCATTTATATACCCCTTCCCAACCTTTCTTAAGTTAGCACCAATCCTATTCCAAGCCCATGACAATCCAGCCAAACTGCTAGTTCACTCTCCATGAATATGCATAATCTTTATTTCATACCATATCTCTTCAGGCCAAGGAGACAACAATATGAACTACTTGAAGTTCTACTCTCTGGGAGGATTTTCCTTTCCTGTCCTTTGCTGCCATCCATGAACTGGCAGTTTAATGCCCCCTACCACTTCCTTTTTGTCTGGTGGTAACAAACAGAATCACCTATAATTCAAGCTTGAATTTTTTTCCAACATCAGTCACTTATCCATAGGAAACTCTCATGAGGCCATAGTTGTGGGCTGAATGAAAAGAGGCAGCATGACAGGAGACAGCATACTGGGACTGTGGTCATAGGACACTTCTCCTGGATGATGGAGTTCAAAGGACGCACCCATGTCAATGATTCTCAACTGAGGGCAATTTTGCCTTCCAGGAGCAAAATTTAGCACTTTAGCTAAATATTAAGCAATGTGTAGAGACGTTTTTGATTATCACAATTGGGGGATGCTACTGGCAACTAGTTAATAGAGGCCTGGGATGCTGCTAAACATCTACAATGCCCAGGACAGCTCCCCACCAGAAAGAAGAATGGGCCAAAATGTCAGTAGAGCCATGGTTGAGAAACCCTGATCTGTACTCATGACTGGATGAATCAGCTAGCATCCTGTTCAGAATAGACAGCTGGAGTCATAGAGTTACCAGGAGTTCCAAAATCAGGTGTTCCTTCTCCAAAAGGCCAAATAGAAGGAGCTATTTCTCAAAAGGAAGGAGTTATTAGCCTAAGAGGGCTTGTCTCTGCACCAGTACCCTGTGGACCTCTGTCTGGCAATGTCTGTCACAGACACCAGTCATTAACTATTGTGTTATTAAAGTTCCCCGCATCATACTTCTTCTGGTCAAAGAATTCAGTTCACAAAAAAATAATCCACTCACAAAACGTTTTCTTCCCATGTTCATGTGCCGCCTATTTTTGTACTCAAGGGAGAAATGCTTCCACAAAGATTATATGCAACAATGCTGTTGTTGAATTGGAAGCTGAGACTCCTTTGGCCATTGCAAGTTCCTTGTACCATGTGCCACATAGGTAAAATGGATGTTACAGTACTGACTGGAGTGATTGATCATCCACCACACTGCTACACAATAGGAGCCAGGAGGAGTATGGACAAAACCCTGAAGGCCCTGAGTCACTTCCTTGTAAGACTTTCATAGTAAGTTAGTGGAATATTACAACAGTCTTAACAGCAAGGGGCACAAATCCCTCAGGAATGGGGTTTTGATCCTCCCACTGGATTACAAAATCTACACCTGTTAAGAGTTCTGGCTGAAAGTCAAGGGAACATGGAATGGATATTGGACAAAATATGTTATAAATATTAGCTAGGGCTTTGTGATCAGTTTCAAAAATGAAGAGCTATAACCTCTACCCAGATTTCTTTCCTTTTTATGTGTGTATTTTAACTAATTTCCTTTTTATTTTTTTCTCTGTTTCTTTCATTATTGTATGTAGGATTTTTGACACTGGCTAACTACAGTGTAGTGCATAGATTGCACGATGTTGTGATGGGATCACTATGGAGCTGGGAAGAACAGACATTCCCTGAGATCCTGGATTTGAAACTGTATGGGAATAGAACAGCTACTATGTAACCTTGGTACCACCAATTGTGTGCTCCTGCCCAAGTTTTTTGGTATGTGTGAGGAAGAGCGGCCCTGAGCTAACAGCTGTTGCCGATCTTTCTCCTTTTGCTTGAGGAAGATTGTTGCTGAGCTAGCATCTGTGCCAATCTTCCTCTATTTTATGTGGGATGCTGCCACAGCGTGGCCTAACAGGTGGTGCTAGATCTGTGCCCAGGATCCGAACCTGCGAACCCCAGCCCGCCAAAGCACAGGGTGGGAACTTAACCACTATGCCACTGGGCCGGCCGTGTCTGAGGTTTGAGTTGTGAATGAATGGCACAATAACTAATAGAATGCTTAGAATTCATTCATAGTGGTGCCATTCTGTGGCAGTGGCAGTGGTTTCTAGCAGTGTTCAGCAGTGATTGGGCCAGTAATGGAATCCTAATCAGGCTGTTTTGAAGCATAGCCTTAGCTGTAATCTCTGCTGCCAAGCTTTCCTTGGTTTCTGTCATTTTATGATCCTGGTTTTCTGGCCTTTCCTTCAATTGTGTGAGCTACTCCCTAATCTTATAATAAAATTACTTTCTTAGCTAGCTAAACATAGTTTCTGATGTTTAAAACTAAGAACTAAGAATTCATATATCAGCTTTCCACCACTACTTGTCCACCAAGCTTCTTGAAGAAACTTTGTTGTACCATGATTTCTGCCATCTGGATTCATTTCTTTTATTGCTAATTAAAAAAATTATCATATGCTATCCAGCCTTAGTATTTTATAATGATTCATCTTCCTAAGAGTCTTTTAGACTCTTTTTTAAATGTACACGATACTTAGGCTGAAGCTTACACACAGCAGGCTCTCAGTACTTTATGACATTTATTGAACACGATTGTACATAGAATTACAAAGTGGTATAAAGAAAGATAAAATAATTTTGGAAGAAATGACCTCAGATCTTGTGTATCTCATAAATACATAAGTAGACTATAAGAAAACTTACTACAAATATATAGACAAGTGTTCCCTACGCTAGTATAAATATCTTTTTATACAATACTAAACTTTTTTCAAAAATACAAAGAAAGGTAATAGGAATATATAACGTGTGATTTTTTTTTTTTTGAGGGAGATTAGCCCTGAACTAACATCTGCTGCCAATCCTCCTCTTTTTTGCTGAGGAAGACTGGCCCTGAGCTAACATCTGCGCCCATCTTCTTCTACTTTATATGTGGGACGCCTTCCACAGCATGGCTTTCCAAGTGATGCCATGTCCGCATCCGGGATCAGAACCGGCCAACCCTGGGCCACCGAAGCGGAACGTGCAAACTTAACCACTGCGTCACCGGGCCAGCCCCTATAATAGTGTGATTTTTAAAATAAAACATCCCCTTAGATTTCTTTTAGATCTGACCATTTGTAGTGCAGACTGAGCAGATAAGTGGTGTATTTAAAGGACAATCCAGATATAATTTATTCAGATTTTTATAAGTTAATAT